TGAGGATCAGAATTTTTGAAAGTGTGACTATCCATAAGGAATTTATTTGCCATTCTAGGTACAATTGGAAGGCATTAGCGGTTTCCAGGGAACAGGATTAACTCCAAATTAGGAAGGATTATTAAACAGAAGTGAAAGATCATTGTCTCTAAACGGTAAGCAAAAGGCAAGAAAATACTGTGTCTTCTGTGGGTCCCAAGATATTGAGGGAGGAAGAAGGGGAAGAAGTAGGGGAACACAGAATTAAAAGTCAGGATTAGTTTTCCTCAACCTTCTTGGATATAGAGAATGTCAAAAAATCAGTAATAATCACAGGAGAAGAAAGAACTCGATAAATTCTAAAATCCTTTGGCCTTCATTATTAGGGAATAGGCTCAAGTATGATCCTCCCAAAGATAACCTATACATTTCAACAAGGGACTCATGGAGCCAGAACCCCACATGTGCAGCAGAAAGCATTTGGTGCCAACACGGGAAACATTTTGGAAGCTAAGTGTATTTTTTCACTTACCTTAAATGTAAGCACAGAAGCTTCCACTTCATTCACTCACTGTTGTGGTTGACTCTCCTTCTGTTTCTTCTAGATGCCTGCTCTTGGTTAAGATCAGGTGGTGGGGAGGAGCAAGATGGTGGAGAATTAGGAGACCTAAATTTTGTCTGGTCCCAGGAATTCAGCTAGATAGTTATCAAACCATTCTGAACACCTACAAACTCAATAGGAGATTGAAGAGAAGAAGAGCAGCAATTCTAGGAACAGAAAAGCAACCACTTTCTGGAAGGTAGGACATGCGGAGAAGTGATCCCAGACTGGGGGGGGGGGGGGGGGCGGTGGGGGGGCCGACATTTCCCAGCAAGCAGTAGAGCAGTGGAGCACAAAATTGGAACTTTTAGAAGTCCACTCTACTGAGGGATGTCTCTCCAGACACTAAGCAGGGGGTGGGGAGGGAGTCCTCATGGGGATAGTATGGTCGCAGGACCTGTGAGGGTCACAGAAAGACTGGGGGTACCTGAGAGTGGCAGAGCAACCAGGTATCAGAGTGGGAAAGCCAGCTGCAGAGATGGAGCCGAGGAGGGGTTCTGAGCTCAGGGTTACCTTAAACTGTAATCTGAGGCAGAGTCAGGCTACAATTCTTCGAGCAGGGACCTCACAAAAACGCTTGGTCACAGGCCAGGTGAGCACAGAGTGTGACTGGAGACCAGGGAGATGGGAGTGATTGATTGCTTTTCTCTGAGGGTGCACTGAGGAGTGGGGTCCCGAGCTCTTGGCTCCTCTGGGCTGGAGACTGGGAGGCTGCCATCTTCATTCTCCTCCTCCAAAGCTGTATGGAAAGCATTCAGGGAACAAAAGCTCCCCAGAGCGAACCTGAGCAGATTACTTAGCCTGGCCCCTGACAAGGGCAGTGCAATTCCACCTAGGGCAAAGACACTTGAGAATCACTACAACAGGCCCCTTCCCCAGAAGATCAGCAAAAACATCCTGCCAAGACCAAGTTCACTGATCAATGAGAACTGTAGAACTCCCCTTTTTCCTCTTTCCCATTTTAACCTTTTTAAACTGTTTTATCTTATCAATTCCTTTTTAAAAATCTTTTAAAATTTTCATTGTTATAGTCATATTCTATCCCTTCATTGTATTTAATTTTATTTCTTGTATACATACAAGTTCTTCTTTCTTCAAAATTTTTGGGAGACAATTTCTTCTAACAGACCAATATATACCTTAAATCTAGTATATGGCTTTGTTCTAGTCTCCAGCCTGATCACATTCTTTCCTTTTTACTTATTTATTTTTTCTTTCTTCAATCAACTTATCTTATCAATCCCTTTTTAAAAATCTTTTTTAATTTTCATTATTATAGTCATATTCAGTCCTTTCATTGTGTTTACCCTTATTTTTGTATATATTTACAAGTTTGTCTTTCTTTAAAATTTTGGGAGGCAGTTTCATCTAACATACCAAAAACACCCAAAATCAAATGTGTGGCTCTGTTCTATTCACCAGTCTAGTCTTTTTTTTTTTTTTTTCTCCTTTTTCCTTTCGTCTCCCCACATTATGGGTCTCTTCTGATTTGGTTAGTGTATTTCGGTTAGTGTCTCCCTGGGGTCATTCTTACCCTTTTAGCATTTTGTCTCTTTCATTCATCTATTCTTCTCTGGAAAAAATGGCAAGGCAGAAAAACTCACCTCAAAAAAAAAGAACAAGAGGCAATACTGATGGCTAGGGACCTAATCAATACAGACATTAGTAAGATGTCAGAAATAGAGTTCAGAATGATGATTATAAAGGTGCTAGCTGGGCTTGAAAAAAGCATAGAAGATACTAGAGAATCACTTTCTGGAGAAATAAAATCTCTTTCAGGAGAAATAAAAACTAAAATCTTACCAAGTCAAAATAAAAAAAGCTATTAATAAGGTACAATAAAAAATGCAGTCTCTTGATGTTAGGATAAATGAGGTAGAAGAGCAAATTAGTGACATAGAAGACCAATTTTCCAGCACCATTTATTGAAGAGACTGTCTTTTTTCCAGCTTTGTCGAAGACTATTTCACCATAGAGTTGAGGGTCCATATCTGGGCTCTCTAGTCTGTTCCACTGGTCTATGTGTCTGTTTTTGTGCCAGTACCATGCTGCCTTGGTGATCTCAGCTTTGTAGTAAAGCTTGAAATCAGGCAACGTGATGCCCCCAGTTTTGTTTTTCTTTTTCAACATTTCCTTAGCAATGTGGGGTCTCTTCTGGTTCCATACAAATTTTAGGATTGTTTGTTCCAGCTCTTTGAAAAATGCTGGTGGAATTTTGGTCAAGATGGCATTGAAAGTATAGATTGCTCTAGGCAGTATAGACATTTTCAAATGTTTATCTTCTGATCCATGAGCATGGAATGGTCTTCCATCTTTTTGTGTCTTCTTCAGTTTGTTTCATGAGTGTTCTGTAGTTCCTTGAGTACAGATCTTTACCTCCTTGGTTAGGTTTATTCCCAGATATCTTATGGTTCTTGGTGCTATAGTAAATGGAATTGATTTTCTAGTTTCCCTTTCTATATTTTCATTGATAGTGTATAAGAAAGCAACTGATTTCTGTGCACTGATTTTGTAACCTGACACATTACTGAGTTGCTGTATGAGTTCTAGTAGTTTGGGAGTGGAGTCTTTTGCATTTTCTATATAAAGTATCATGTAATCTGTGAAGAGAGAGAGTTTGACTTCTTCATTGCCAATTTGAATACATTTTATTTATTTTTGTTGTCTGATTGATGTTGCTAGGACTTCTAGTACAATGTTGAACAACAGTGGCAAGAGTGAGTGTCCTTGTCATGTTCCTGATCTCAAAGGGAAAGCTGTCAGCTTTTCCCCATTGAGGATGATATTCACTGTGGGTTTTTCATAGATAGAGTTTATGAAGTTGAGGCATGTTCCCTCTATCCCTATACTTTGAATCGTTTTAATTAGGAAAGGATGCTGTATCTTGTCAAATGTTATTTCTGCATCAACTGAGAAGATCATGTGGTTCTTCTCTCTTCTCTTATTGATTTGTTCTATCACACTGATCAATTTGAAAATGTTATACCACCCTTGCATTCCATGGATAAATCCCACCTGGTCATGGTGGATAATCTTTTTAATGTACTGTTGGATCTTACTAGCTATGACCTTGTTGAGAATCTTAGCATCCAAATTCATCAGGGATATTGGTCTGAAATTCTCCTTTTTGGTGGGGTCCTTGCCTGGTTTGAGGATCAGGGTAATGCTGCCTTCATAAAAGAGTCTGGAAGTTTTCTTCCTGTTTCTATTTTTTGAAACAGCTTTAGGAGAATAAGTATTATTTCTTCTTTGTAAGTCTGGCAGAATTCTCCAGGGAATCCATCAGGTCCTAGGCTCTTGTTTTTTGGGAGGTTTTAATCAATGCTTTAATCTTGTTACTAGATATTGGTCTATTCAGGTTTTCAATTTCTTCCTGATTCAGTTTTGGAAGTTTATAGGTTTCCAAGAATGCATCCATTTTGTCTAGGTTGCTTAACTTATTTGCATATAGCTGTTGATAATAATTTATGATGATTGTTTCTATTTCCTTGGTGTTAGTCATGATCTCTCCCTTTTCATTCATAATTTTATTAATTTGGTCCTCTATCTTTTCTTTTGGATTAGTTTGGCCAATGGATTATTGATCTTATTGATTCTTTCGAAAAACCAGCTTCTAGTTTTGTTGATGTGTTCTACCGTGTCTCTATTTTATATCTCATTGATCTCTGCTCTAATCTTGATTATTTCCCTTCTTGTGAGTGGGGTTGGCTTAATTTGTTGTTGATTCTCCAGTTCTTTAAGGTGCCACCGAGGGATCCTGACCAGAGATCGCTGGGTTCTCGCAGACTCGGGTTGGGAGCGTCTGGACCTGCGGCCGGTCCTAGAGATGACCGGCTGGTGCCACACCAGGCTCTCCCCGGCGCCGGCGGGGGTGCGCCCAGCCCAGCCCAGCGGTGGTGCAGGCAGCGGAAAGCCACGGACTCGGGACCATGGACTGGAGCCCCCGCCGCACTCTGGCACGGGTGGTCACCGGTGGTGGCTGTCCTGGGTCTATGGACTTAGGCCCCTGCCCGTGACCCCCTGATTCCACCCGTTGCCCTTGAAGATCTTTTGCTCTTTTTGGCGCTTTCAACCAGACTCCACGTTGCTGCTGCTCGCCCGTCACAGGGCACACTCGTATCGCGGTATTGATTCCCAGTGGTCGGTTCTGCTGGCTCCCTCCGCCTTCTGTCATCCTCAGCTATCAGTCCGGGCGCTCCCACGACGCTTCACCTCTCCACCGGCGTCGTCTGCCCCCGCAGAGCTCCAGCAGTGTGTCATCCTGCGTCGCAGGCTGGTTTCACGGGTGTGCAGGCTGTCCTGGTAGATAATTAGTTCACTTTAGGGGACTGGTTGAAACAGGGTGTCCTACTTCTCCGCCTTCTTGCCCCTCTCTCCTCCAAAAAGAATAAAATTTTGTAAAAGATAAAAAAAAAAAACAAACCGCACAGTCACTGTAGCAAAGCCCCTCAAAAAGGCTGTGGTGATGCCCTTACAACTGATTCAGGAGCAGGCAGCATCCCCAAATGCTGAGATCCACATCCTGAAGAAGAAAGGCCGGAAGAGAAAGCTGGAGTCCCTGGATGCTTCAGAGTCAGAGGAGAAGGCTGAGGACTGCTGGGAGCTACAGATCAGCCCAGAGCTACTGGCTCATGGGCGCCAAAAAATATTAGATCTGCTGAATGAAGGCTCTGCCCGGGATCTGCGCAGCCTGCAGCGCATTGGCCAAAAGAAGGCCCAGCTCATCGTGGGCTGGAGGGAGCTCCATGGCCCCTTCAGCCAGGTGGAGGACCTGGAACTCGTGGAGGGCATATCCGGGAAACAGATGGAGTCATTCCTGAAGGCGAACATCTTGGGTCTCACCGCGAGCCAGCGCTGAGGCCCCTCCTGACTGCCAGCTCCTTTCCTTCCTGTGCCATGTTTTTGTTTTGTTCTTTAAATCCTCATATAATTGCGTGTCATGTAAATACAATTTTTACTCTGGAAAAAAAAAAAGAGCTGGTGTATTCTGGATTTTTCAATTTTTTTTGAGGGAGGCTTGATGCCTCTTGATAGATAATAAAGAAGCTGAGGAAAAGGAGATAAATAACTACTGGATCATGAGGGAAGAATTTGAAAGATAAGTAATACCATAAGATGAAATAATATTAGAATAATTGGGATCCCAGATGAAGAAAAAAGAGATAGAGGGGTAGAAGGTATAATGGAACAAATTATAGCAGAGAATTTCCTTAATTTGGTGAAGGGAACAAACATCAAAATCCAGGAGGCAAAGAGAACCCCCCTCAAAATTAATAAAATAGGTAACATCCTGTCATCTAATAGTAAACTTACAAGTCTCAGAGACAAAGAGAAAATCATGAAAGCAGCTCTGGACAGGAGGTCTATAATATACAATGGTAGAAAAATTAGATTGGCAGCAGACCTATCCATAGAGACCTGGCAGACCAGGAAAGATTGGCATGATATATTCAGAGCACTAAACCAGAAAATTATGCAGCCAAGAATACTATATACAGCTAGGCTGTCATTGAAAATAGAAAGAGAAATAAAAAAGCTTCCAGGACAAACAAAAACTAAAAGAATTTGCAAACACCAAAGCAAACCTACAGGAAATGTTGAAACCCCTTTCAATATCCTCTTGAAACCCAATTCAGTATCCTCTGAGCAAAGAAAGAGCCTAAAAGTAACAGGCCAGAAAGGAACAGAGACAATATACAGTAACAGTCACCTTCCAGGCAATAAAATGGCACTAAATTCATATCTTTCAATAGTTACCCTGAATATAATGGGCTAAATGCCACAATCAAAAGACACAGGGTATCAGAATGGATTAAAAACAACAACAACAAAACAAGACCCATCAATATGCTGTCTGCTAGAAACTCATTTTAGACCCAAGACACCTCCAGATTTAAAGTGAGGGATGGAAAATAATTTACCATGATAATGGACATCAAGAGAAAGCTGGGGTGGCAATTGTTATATCAGATAAATTAAATTTTAAGCCAAAGACTGTAATAAGAGATGAGGAAGGATATTATATTATACTTAAAGGGTTTGTTCAACAAGAATATCTAACAGTTTTAAATAACTATGCTCCTAATATGGGAGCAGCCAATTATATAAACCAATTAATAACAAAATCAAAGAAATACATCAACACTAATACAATAATAGTAGGGGACTTGAACACCCCCCTCACTGAAATGGACAGATCATCTAAGCAAAAGGTCAACAAGGAAATAAAGGCTTTAAATGACACACTGGACCAGATGGACATCACAGATATATTCAGAACATTCCATCCCAAAGCAACAGAATACACATTCTTCTCTGGTGCAGATTGAACATTCCTCAGAATAGATCACATCCTGGGTCACGAATCAGGTCTCATCCAGTACTAAAAGACTAGGAACATTCCCTGCATATTTTCAGACCACAATGCTTTGAAACTAGAACTCAACCACAAGAGGAAAGTTGGAAACAGCTCAAATACATGGAGGCTAAAAAGCATCCTACTAAAGAATGAATGGGTCAACCAGGAAATTAAAGAAGAATTAAAAAGATTCATGGAAAAAAATCAAATGAAAATACAACTGTTTGAAATCTTTGGGATGCAGCAAAGGCAGTCTGGGGAGGAAAGTATACAGCAATATAAGCCTTTCTAAAGAAACAAGAATGGTCTCGAATACACAAACTAACCCTACACATAAAGGAGCTGTCGAAAGAAGAGCAAAGAAAGCCTAAACCCAGCAGGAGAAGAGAAATAATAATGATCAGAGCAGAAATCAATGAAATCAAAGCCAAAAGAACAGTAGAGCAAATCAATGAAACCAGGAGGTGGTTCTTTGAAAGAATTCATAAGATAGATAAACCTTTGGCCAGACTTATCAAAAAGAAAAGAGAAAGGACCCAATTAATAAAATCATAAATGAAGGAGGAGAGATCACAACCAATACCAAAGCAATACAAACAATTATAAGAACATATTATGAGCAACTATACCCCAGAAAATTTGACAATCTGAAAAAAACGGAGGCATTCCTAGAGATGTATAAACTACCAAAACTGAGCCAGAAAGAAATAGAAAACCTGAATTGACCCATAACCCATAAGGAGATTGAAGCAGTCATCAAAAATCTCCCAATAAACAAGAGCTCAGGGCCAGATGGCTTCCCATGGGAAGTCTACCAAACATTTTTAGAAGAATTAATACCTAGTCTCCTGAAACTATTCTAAAAATAGAAATGGAGCACTGGGCGTGGTGCATAAACAATGAATTATGGAACACTGAAAAGAAATTTAAAAAATAAATAAAAAATTAAAAACTAACTAACTAAATAAATGAAAATAAAAAAACAGAAATGGAATGAAAACTTCCAAACTCATTTTATGAGGCCAGCATTACCTTGACCCCAAAGCCAGACAATGACCCCATCAAAAAGGAGAATTACAGACCAATATCCTTGATGAACATGGATGAAAAATTCTCACCAAAATACTAACCAATAGGATCCAACAGTACATCAAAATGATTATTCACCACGACCAAGTGGGATTTATTCCTGGGCTGCAAGGTTGGTTCAGCAACTGCAAATCAATCAATGTGATACATTAATAAAAGAAAGAACAAGAACCATATGATACTTTCAATAGATGCTGAAAAAGCATTTCACAAAGTACAGCATCCTTTCATGATTAAAATTCTTCACAGTGTAGGGATGGAGGGTATATACCTCAATATCATCAAAGCCATCTATGAAAAACACACAGCGAATATTATTCTCAATGGGGAAAAACTGAGAGCTTTTCCCCTAAGGTCAGGAACATGGCAGGGCTATCCACTATCACCACTGCCGTTCAACATAGTACTAGAAGTCTTAGCCTCAGCAATCAGACAACAAAAAGAAATTGAAGGCATCCCAGTGGACAAAGGAGTCAAACTCTTACTCTTTGCAGATGACATGATACTTTATGTAGAAAATCCAAAAGACTCCACTCCAAAACTGCTAGAACTCATATAGGTATTCAGTAAAATGTCAGAATATAAAATCAATGCACAGAAATCAGTTGCATTTCTATACACAAACAACAAGACAGAAGAAAAAGAAATTAAGGAGTTGATCTCATTTACAATTGCACCCAAAACCATAAGATACCTAGGAATAAACCTAACCAAAGAGGCAAAGAATCTGTACTCAGAAAACAATAGAGTACTAATGAAAAGAATTGAGGAAGATCCAAAGAAATTGGAAAACATTCCATGCTCATGGATTGGAAGAACAAAGATTGTGAAAATGTCTATGCTATCTAGAGCAATCTGCACATTTAATGCAATCCCTATCAAAATACCATCTACTTTTTCCAAAGAAATTGAACAAATAATCCTAAAATTTGTATGGAACCAGAAGAGACCCCGAACAGCTAGAGGAATGTTGAAAAAGAAAATCCAAAGTTGGTGGCATCACAATTCCAGACTTCAAGCTCAATTACAAAGCTGTCATCATCAAGACAGTATGGTACTGGCACAAATACAGACACATAGATCAATGGAACAGAATAGAGAGCCCAGAAATGGGCCCTCAACTCTATGGTCAACTAATCTCGACAAGGCAGGAAAGAATTTGCAATGGAAAAAAGACAGTGTCTTTAACTAATGGTGATGGGAAAATTGGACAAACACAAGCAGAAGAATGAAACTGGACCATTTCCTTACACCACACATGAAAATAGACTCAAAATGGATGAAAGAACTCAATATGAAAAAAGAATCCCTCAAAATTCTTGATGAGAACACAGGCAGCAACCTCTTCAACTTCAGCCACAGCAACTTCTTCCTAGAAATATCACCAAAGACAAGGGAAGTAAGGGCAAAAATGAACCACTGGGACTTCATCAAGATGAAAAGCTTTTGCACAGCAAAGTGAACAGTCAACAAAACCAAAAGACAACTGACAGACTGGGAGAAGATATTTGCAAATGACATATCAGATAAAGGGTTAGTATCCAAAAGCTATAAAGAACTTACCAAACTCAACACCCAAAGAACAAAGAATCCAATCAAGAAATGGGCAGAAGACATGAAGAGACATTTTGGCAAGAAGACATCCAAATGGCCAATGGACACATGAAAAAGTGCTCAACATCACTCAGCATCAGGGAGATACAAATCAAAATCACAGTGAGATAACACATCACACCAGTCAGAATGGCTAAAATTAATGAGTCAGGAAATGACAGGTGTTGGTGAGGATGTGGAGAAAGGGGAACTCTCCTACATTGTTGGTGTGAATGCAAGCTGGTGAGGCTACTCTGGAAAAAAGTATGGAGGTTCTTTAAAAAGTTGAAATAGAGCTACCCTTTGACCCAGCAATTGCACTACTGAGTATTTACCCTAAAGATACAAATGTAGTGATCCAAAGGGGCACATGCACCTGAATGTTTATAGCAGCAATGTTCACAATAGCCAAACTATGGAAAGAACCTCAATGTCCATCAGCAGATGAATAGATAAAGAAGATGAATAGATATAGAACATAAAGAAGATATCTATATCTATATCTATATCTATATCTATATCTATCGGTATATATAAGTATATATAAAATATGGAATTCTATGCAGCCTTCAAAATGAAATCTCGCCATTTGCAATGACGTGGATGGAATTAGAGAGTAATATGCTAAGTGAAATAAGTCAATCAGAGAAAGATAATTATCAATTATGATCTCACTGATATGAAGAATTTGAGAAACAAGACAGAGAATCATAGGGAAAGAGAGGGAAAAATGAAACAAGATGGAGCCAGAGAGGGAGACAAACCATAAGAGACTCTTAATCTCAGGAAACAAATCGAGGGTTGTGCGAGGGGATGGGGTGGGAGGGATGGGGCGGCTGGGTGATGACTTTGGGGAAGGTATGTCCTGTGGTTAGTGCTGTGAATGGTGTGTAAGACTGATAAATTATAGACCTGTA